TTGAAAAAAAAACTTGTTTCCAAGTAAATAACAGCATTAAAAGCACACTATAAATAAACCACCGCAATATTATTTGTGCTCGCCCTCTTTCGATTGAAGTGGTTTTGCCAAATGTATATATATTTTAAAAAAAGTTGCTTTCTCAAATAAACTTATATTGACCCAAGGCAGAAAAACCATTTAGTATTTTACTCAAACTCAATTTGACAAAACAACTTGTATGTGATAAGATGATTATTTTGTTTGAAAAAGCATTTGACAAATGGTCAAGATTGTAACTGTCTGCTTGATTAGAAGCTAATTTTATACATAAATATGTATTGTGTTTTGAAATGAATTGCTTTCTTTCTTTTCTTTTTAAAATAAATGTGTTATACTTTTAATTGTATATTTTACTTGATTATAAAGCACATTTTTGAATCTTGAGTGCATATTATATTCGCATATTTTAGATTTTTTAATGCATGAGAATTCCTAGCCATACTTATAAGTAATATTTCACCTACTTAGTCAATTATGGAGTTCACAAGATATTGTGCACTGTGGCATTGTTGTAGGCCATGTTTTCATTTTTGATTTTGCAAACATAACATTACTAAGATAGTTGTGAAATTTTACGATATGGGTATTTCCAAACTGGCGTTACGTGACACTACGTAACAATTACAAGTGTTGGCAGTAGAGATTTAAAGATATTAGTAAACATATGCGCTGGCGTGATAAGACACAAAAGAGAAGTTGATTTTGACTTGCAGAGCTCTGCAAATTGGGCAAGACTATATGTATAAAGGTCTTTACAGTAATTTTTTTAAATGTTTAAGGTTCATTTTCCAAGTTTTTAAATGTAAAAATATTTTCTGCTTTTTTCTTAATCAGCATGATGTTACATGACGTTACATTACTAAAATTACCATTGAAAAAGTTATGTTAATATTGTTCTTCAATGAATTTTTAACGGGAAGTGTCCTTTATGTCGAATATGTATACTTTTTTATTTTAACGTCAGCGCAATTTCCATTTTCTTTCAAATTTATGTCTTACTACGTTTCAACTAAACATGCCAAATGTGAAACAAACCAGAGCTTATATACGGTTTTTCAAAATATCTTCCGACCCGAGCGCCACCTAACAAAGATTTGGCAAAAATGCTTCTGAGTACATAACCCGTATATATTATAAAAAGCAGCCAAATCGGCCTATAAATAATTAAGATATAGGACTTTTTTGCGGTAGACCTTCCGCTGGGAACGCTCATATACAACTATACGATAGTACAAAACGTCTTATGAACTCCCTAAAAACATATTTCACCAACATACTATGTTGTTTAAGTAATTTTCTAGTGGGATCAGTACTGACTAAGCTGTTTTGATTGAAAACACAGTGCTCCAAACGTGTTAGGAGGCACGTCACTCGTTAATTGTCAAAACGAACTACACAAACATATTTTTTTTGTTAATACGTGAGCATCTACTATCTCCTGACCGTGGCCCTAAACCTGATCTTATACATATATAATACATATGCACAGGGGCGCACCCAGGAATATATTTTAGGGGGGGTTTTATATTTCTGAAGATATATCACCGGAAAATATTGAAAAGTTGCTTCAGATAATACCCTCTCTAATATACATTTATGCGAGTTTTATGAACAGTATGTAATAAATAAATAAACGTTTTAAAATTCATAAACTGCACTTTATTTACAGATTAACAGAACTCAAACGCTTTTAACCGACTTCAAAAAAAAGGGAGGTTATCATCTCGCCGGAATACATAACTTTGGACCACGTGAACCGTTTTCAATAATCCTTTTTTTATTAGAAAGATAGTACCTCAAGGTTCGTCCCGTAATTTGTTTTAGAACTCCGAGGATTGGATCATGAAGAAATTAACGGTACCCCTAATTTTGAATATGAGAATTGAAGTCGGTTGTGTTCTTTCCTTAAAAACTACTTGCTTAATAAAAAGTTCTACAAACTCAAGATGCGCTCAACTTTCAAAAGTACCTAATAAAAAATTTTAAAAAAGAGTCAGTAAAAATAAATAATAAAATTTATTGATTCCATGAATTTTTGCACTTCTATGTTCATTTTTTCGATTTCTGGTTTTCGATAGAGATGGTGATTTTTCACGATTGCTAAATTTTTTTAATATTTCAAATACCGAAAAAATTAACTGAACTCTCAAGAAAAACGAAAAATTCATATAAAACGACGGACGAGAAATGGAAAAGAAATTTTCTTCTACCAAAATTTCTTAAATCAGTTTGCAGCTCTCAAGAAAAAAAATGCTCGTATATTTATTCCCTCATGAAAATTTACAGCAAAAGCAAAGCGCTTTTTCAAGCAACAGAAATTATAATAAATATTTCTTATAATTTCCTTGAGAGCTGGATTCTTAGCTTTAAGATACAGATTGTATTTGAGGTTATTAGCTTTAGGGGGGGTTTGAACCCCAAAACCCACCCCTTGTGTGCGCTAATGCATATGCATATGTATGTACATTAGGCATATGACTTTTCAAATTACTTTTGGAAAAGTTAAATCTACAAGGTATTACCATGTTCTGACCGACATCGAAAACATGTTCTCGTTGGTAAAACTGGGTTTCGACCTAAAACTTATGTTTTCGTCCATGTAAAATCTGTCAAACGAAAACTAGTTTTCGCTTAAAACCACTTGATCGGTGTCTGCACTAGTTTTTTTCGATTATTTATCGAAGTGGAAGTAATATTTTATCATCTTTATTATCTATAATTGGCTGGCAAAAATAAAGTAAGCATGGAAGTTAAAGGTTGTTAATGAAAAGAAATTGAAGGAAAAGTATTTTGGTTTTGTTTTTGTGTAGCAAAACTGTAAACAAAGGATAAAAGAAATGTCAACGAAAACACCAACAGTCGGTGTGAACAGCCTTCAGCCCACAATCCCAAAACTCGTTTTCAAGGTGTTTTCGTTGTCGGTCAGAATATGGTATATGATGCAATGAGTTTGTATGTACATATAAAATCAAAAACCTCCCGCAGGAATCCTATTGAAATTTTTGAACCCACTTATAATTATTTTTTTTTTTATATTTGGGGTATTCACAACGGTGTCGTAAGTGTCGTATTGTTGTTTGTCGTAAACTTTAAACGCATAAAAAATATATTAAGGGGGTTTGCAAAGTACGATCTAAGTCATATTTTGAATTTTTGCAGTGTTCAAAAATAGTTGGTTGTCGTTTCAAGTTCTTTAAACATTTATTTAAGCTTTTAAAGTTTACGACATACAACAATACGACACTTACGATACCGTTGTGAATCCCTCAATTGTAAAATTTTCAGAAATAACGTAAATAGCTCCGAGGCCGACCGCTTAACTGAAAAGTGTTGTAAGCAACTTGAATAAGAAATTCAATTCGCTTTTTTTTAAGATTTTAAAGAAAACCGAAATTTAGTAACCACTTGTGAAGATAATTGCAATATAGTGAATTGACTTTTTCCAACCTGATATAACCAAAATTTAGCTAAATTTTTAATTCTGTTCTACTTTTATTAAACTTGATTCCATATTCGGATACAGGAGGAATTTTTTAAATCGGAGTTACATTAAGGTAGTGCCATCAGATTTTTTGAAAAATAAATTGTTTAAATAAAATTTTAGTACCTTATTTTTTCCTCCGATAGTTCAAAAAATAGTACACCATCATTACTTTATTTCATAAGGAATTTAATCAGCTCCCCATCATCAAATTTTCAGTAAAAAAAAACACGAAAATTACCCGGAAAATCAATCTTTAGGTCTGGTAGCTTTGTATCTAGACCAAAGAGAGCCCAATAATTTAAAGAAATGTAATGAAAAACACGTGAATTGTACTAAATGTGGTGCGAATATAATGCATAAGGTATGAGTTTTGATCTAAAATTGATTACAATGTCATGTAAAAGCGGACTATGGGTACAATTACCCATTTACTGACAGAAGTTCGATGTATTGTACCAATCGTGTGACTACAAATAAAATTTCCGAATTTTTTTATTTTGTACCAATAGCCCAATATAAAAAATACACACATCTGAACACATGTACCGATCGTGTGACACTGCCTTTATATACCTACCAGGGTTGTTGCGAATATTATTCCAAAATAAAAGATCTTTCCGGATAATAAACAAACGCCTGTCCAAATTAAACAAATTTGGTATCATAAGAAAGAGGAATGAAATATCTTTTAAACAGAAATAACAAACGACCTCTATTTAAATTTTGTTTATAATTTAAAACCGAAGAAATGCATATACATGACAAAAGGTTTGTTCTATGGTAATTGATTAACATTTTTTGTTGAAATAATTTTCGATATGTGGCTTTCCTCGTTTAGACATTTCAGTTTTAAAGCTATTTAAACCCTCTTTCATTTGATACCAAACTTGTTTAATTTGGATAAGCGGTTTCTTTATTATCCGGAAAAGACTTTTATTTCGGATTATATTCGCAACAACCCTGATACCTACATAGAAGGTAAACTTCAAAGGTTAGGGGGGCTCGAGCCTCTTCGCCTAGGTAGCGACGCTCATGCACGTGCGCAAACATATGTATTTACATGTATTTACATACCTATATACTTATGCATTTATGTGAACAATGTTCACTGAACATACATATGTACATTCATCCGTAATAATAATACTAAATTGGCGCTTACACATTTGTTAGTGTTTGGCCGAGCTTCTCCTCCGATTTGTGGCGTGCGCCTTGATGTTGTCACACAAAAGGAAGGGACCTACAGTTTTACGCCGACTCCGAACGGCGATTGTGTTTTTATGAGGTTTTGCCATTGCCTGCCGATGAGCGACCCCTATTAAGAAAAAACCGTTTCTCTATATTTTTTGCGATGTTGCTTTGACCAGAGCTTGAACCCAGGCCTTGCGGAGTGATAGCGCGCACTGCTAACCACTACACCACAGTGTACGTACATATGTAGATATTATTTATTTCACTTACTTTAAAACTTATAATTGAAATCAAATTCAGTTCAATTTTGGAAATTTAACCTACAAGATGCCTACCACAGCAGATAGTGTTTTCGTTGCTCGTTCTGCAGGTATATCCGCTGAAGGTGTTCCTGATCAATACGCTGACGGAAAAGCTGCAAAGGTTTGGGAAATATTTATTGGAGACAAAAATTCACGTACAGAAAATTATAAGAATTTTCTGGTCGATTTACTTCGATCAAAGAAATGTAAGAGAGTATTAGACGTGGCATGTGGAACAGGGTGAGTTCACGTTCATTTCGATTTGCTTCAAATCGTGTTGAGGGCGCTTTACGTGAAAAAAGTTATAACATATTTTTGGCAACGTAAAATTTTTGAATTCTTGTTCTTGGAGATATGCAATCTGTCGGAGGTGTACAATCTGTCAAAGAGTGGATTTTGTTCCAATTTAGACTAAACATGTATATTGATACTATCTTCTTCAAACCCCTGGGGTCCTACTAATCGTTGACTTCATCTTAACGTTAGAAGCTAAAACTTTTTTTAACAATTGTTTATTACAGTATATTTTGCTTTGTTGCCATTATACTGAAGTGCACAGTTAAGATACCTACCCCAAAATGCGCATCAGCGGCATTATTTTTAACATTTATAAGGAAAATGCTCCGATAGTTGCATTAAACATACCTGCACATTAGAGATACCTGTCCTAAAAATTCTGCAACTATTATCAATTACCAAAGAAAGTATTACGTTTACCTGCACTGGCTCTACACGTACCATAATTTTACAAGGAACAAGGAAACGGACATAATTTTATGTAGTTTATAGATAATTTAGAAACCATTCGGAAAAAATATAGCTTGAGCAATTTCTACGTGGTAAGTGCTCCTCCATTATTTGGTTTCATAGGGATTCAGATACCTTCCTCATTGAAGTAGAAAAGAAAATTCGCGTAAGTGCTTTTTTCGGTTAAGCGCACAAGCTTTTGGTGCAAAGAAGAATGTGCAGCTAAGCAAAATGTACTGTATTTGGATCTTTCTGTCCTAATCTAACAACAATTATGCAAATCTTATGAACNAACAAGGAAACGGACATAATTTTATGTAGTTTATAGATAATTTAGAAACCATTCGGAAAAAATATAGCTTGAGCAATTTCTACGTGGTAAGTGCTCCTCCATTATTTGGTTTCATAGGGATTCAGATACCTTCCTCATTGAAGTAGAAAAGAAAATTCGCGTAAGTGCTTTTTTCGGTTAAGCGCACAAGCTTTTGGTGCAAAGAAGAATGTGCAGCTAAGCAAAATGTACTGTATTTGGATCTTTCTGTCCTAATCTAACAACAATTAAGTTAAAAGTTAAAGATTTTCATTGTAACTAGGAAATCGTTTAATACTCAAATTAACCCTCTCCGTGCATTTGTACTACATTGGGAGCGTGCCACTAAAAATCGTATAAATATTTTTGTAAACATATTAAACCTTATGAAGTTTTTGACTGTCCCAAATAGTTTACGAAAATTTCAAATCGAAAACGTTTCAAAATTGTTTTTAGAATTTAATTAAAAATATAGACCATTTTATAAAATTCCAGTGACACGCAAGTGGTGGTAATTTACTGCACAAAAAATATGTGAAAATCAAGTAAAATTACTAAGAAAAGCACGTAACATGGAAATTTTTAAAGCATTTCATCATATAACAAGTAAGAAAGTCTAAGTTCGGGCGGAGCCGAACATTAAATTCCCGGCGCAAGTATTAAATATATGTTATTCACCTTTTCGGAAGCTATCGCTACATGGTAAGCCAGGGTGTATCAATATTGAGTAAATTAGCGTCCTTAATTTCGAAATATTGAAGTTTCAAGCATTTCTGAAATTTACCGTCACATGAAACGCGGCCGTAATTTTAGTCCGCTTTCAACAATTTTCACGTTTTGATTTTGTGTGGCAAGCACAATTACCGTACCGAGTTTGGTACAAATTGGTAGAACGGTTACTGAGATACATATATGTGATCATAAGTGGGCGGTGTCACGCCCATTTTATCATAAACGTATTTCTTGGTATGTCGGCCGCTGTGGTGTAGTGGTAAGCAGTGTGCGCTTCCACTCCGCAGCACCTGGGTTCAAACCCTGGTCAAAGCAACATCGCAAAAAAATATAGAAAAAAGATTTTTTCTTAACAGCGGTCGTCCCTCGGCAGGCAATGGCAAACCTCCGAGTGTTTTTCTGCCATGAAAAACAGCTTCTCTTAAAAATACAATCGCCGTTCGGAGTCGGCGTAAAATTGTAGGTCCCTCCGCTTTGTGTGACAACAACAAGGCGCACGCCACAAATCGGAGGAGAAGCTCGGCCAAACACTAACATATGTGTAAGCGCCAATCTATTATTATTATTATTATTATTATTTCTTGGTAAAGAATTGTTGCAAGCATCAATTTTGAATAAATTAGCTTTAAAATGTACTGATTTGTCGAAGATTTTGTATTTCTCTAAATTACCGTTACATGGGATGTGGGCGTGGTTATTGTCCGATTTTAAAGCTTTTCAGCTTTTGGTATGTTATTCTAAGGCAAAAACTAGGTTTGGAAGAAATTGGTTCAGCGGCGTGGGCGTGGGCATGGGCGTGGCTACGCCCATTTACCAAAAATGTATAATACTAGTAATAATCGCCGAAAATCGGGGTGCTCCGTGGTCCTAAAATCTGCATATTTCTTTTTTCTAAAAACCACGTGCATCGATTTTGGTAGTTAACTTCAACTTGGTATTTCGGCAAGACCGTACTCTACTCAATACGCCATGCGTAAAGCAATCCTCTTGCTAGGGTCTGACCTTGACCCTGCAGTAAATCGCTCTAGTTCAGAACTAGCGCAGAACTAGCTCTTTAAGAGGCGGTACTGGTTCTCGATCTATCCCAACGCAATGCTTTCAACTGTCTCTTTTTACATGGCGATGTCCTACGAAGTGGAAATTGCCACCTCTGCAGAACTTTCGAACTAGTTCTGAACTGGTTCTATTTTCGACAGTTCTGGGTCAATAAGTTTTTTATGAGAAAAAATTTTAAAATTAGATTACTGGATATTTTTTCTTTTCTGAACTGTTTCCATTTTGGACAGATCTGCGACAATTAGTTTTTTTATGGAAAAATTTTGATTATTCGATTTTTTGTTTTTTTTTTTTTAATTTTTTCTGTTCTTTTACAGATTGCATTTGATCTAACTTTTTTTATTTTATTTATATTAAACTTGATCATTTTCTCATAAATTTTTTAGCGGCACTCAACAATTTAAATTTATTAAATTTGAAAATCACAACTGCCTCCACCGCGATTTGAACTCGCGACCAACGATGTTAGAGTCGGAGGTCTTCCCGCTGAGCTATTGTAGTATTGTACGAGAAGTGAGAATTTGTGCATTTACTTCTCAACAGAGCGCAACTAGCACACCAAAAGTTTCAACTGTCCCTTTCTGCAGCCGTTTTGCACTAGTTCAGAGATAGTTCTGAAATGTATAGGGCGGATCTAGCGCTTTAACAGACTGTTTCTAAATTTTACTGCAGGGTGAGACTTATTTATTGTTATTGCGAACGCTACAATAATTTTGAATTGGCGACATTTAAATACGAAAGCAAGTGTGGATTCGCTGGACCGCTAATTTATATGGGATAGTATAATTCGTTTCCCTTGTGAATCACATGTTTAATGCCCATTAACTAAGCCTTCATATGTACGTATTTGTATTGCTGCATCCAAACAATTAGATATATTGTAATTCTTTAACCATTAGGCGAGACCATTAACTAACCCTTCATATGTATGTACATATTTAAGTTGCGGATTAGCATCACAACTGCTCTAACTTTTAGGGCTGGTTTCTCCAACTCAACTTAACTTAGTTTAGCCACTTTTTGGACTTAAGTCAAAAGTTAGCCTACGTTTTACATAGCTTATTCTTGGCTAAGTCAAGAAAATTGACTTAACTAAGTTAAGTTGAGTTAGAGAAACCAGCCCTTAGTATCAAGTCATGAGGTGCAACTCCCCTATTTCTACTTGCTCCTGTGGATATTCAGAAACGACAGTAGATATCAACGGTATTTCTTCTCCGGCCAACATATTAACCATTTCTTTATTAATTGGTTATTTTGTGGAAGCGAAATTGATCGATCCTTCAAGTGGTTTTGATTAATTACACCAGGCTGAGGTTCAAATGCCCAATCGGCTAAATCTCGCAAAATAATCCCTTGTGGCACGAATCTTAATTTTTGAGTCTGGCGAGAGTTCTCGCCCTTCTGTAACCCGCAAGAGAAAACTAAAATAATCAGATTCTCTGAAACGCATATTTATCGAGATTGTAAAATACTTTACCGTTCCCTCAGTTCGCCCGCCAGGATTTTTTTTAAGTTTTTCAGCATTTTCAAAATAAAAAATTATACAAAATTGAAAATAAAGAAATGAAATTATTCAAAATTGGTGAAAATGAGAATGCATGTGTGAGATTCAGTTTTACATTCTAAAATCGCTCAATGTGAAATTTTAAAAATCTCCAGTGCACATACATATGTGTACATCGAATGATTCTTAAATCTGAAATGTTTGTGCAAAGCACCTTCATTTGAAAGTAAATATTCTGTACGATTATATATAGATATATAGATTTATAATACAAATAGAACCATATTTGCCTCAGAAAATAAAACATCGAAATAAACGTAGTAAGATTTATATATTGGGTATGTGTACAGAGGCAAAAGCAACCTTTTTATTTTGCAGATCTTTGCTGTATCACATTCGCACGAACGTAGCAATGCTTTGCTCGAAATGAAACAAAAACAGGGACGAAAACGAATAAATGGAACATAGAATGCTCGAAGCGAAATAAAGCGTACAGCGCTGCAGCGAGTTGTTGTTGATACTGTGGATGAATTAGGGATGTTGCGAATGTGGAATTTTAGACATCCGCGGATGCGAATGCGGATGTCATGTATTTTTAAGAAATAATTTAGGCGTGTAAATTAGGTGACTTAGGGAAATAAAAAATGGAAAGGTTAGTAATTTTTATTAATCTGCCTTATCCTGAGTTTTGCCCGAAAATTTGTATTCCGCCCATAGTAAATACATGAAAACCAAAAGTGAAAAGTGAACCGGCCCGGGAAAAATGAAACTCATGGTAAGACTGAATGTTTTTTTAGTACTTGAATTTAAAAAATTTGAACATTGTATTTAATAAAAACTTTTTAAAGGGTCGTAAATCAAACCTGCGCCACTTCATAACTACTCGCGCTA